GAAAATACCTTTTCATTTACAATACAACTGAAATTTCTCCTTATAACAAGCCTTAAAAAGGTCTTCAATTAAAAAAAGTGTTTTTTTGCAAAGTTTAGAATATGAGGTTTAAGGGAACACTATAGTTTATTTTTATGAACGAGAGAGTAATTAGCATAATTTTAACTGGTATCTCCGACCACTCCATGGGCGTGCTCAAGATTAATTGAAAAATTACTTTGAATAATTGTAAAAAATAAATGAATTATTTCAGTGTTATAAAGTGTTATGTGTATGTAAACAAAAGTGACCTCTTTTATCACACACTATATTAGGACTGACTGGCCTACATTAAAAAGGGTTTTAAAAAATTCACATTTTTTTTAATTTTTAAAAATTACAAAAGAGAAAAAGAGTTTTTAAAACCGTCTAAGGTATGTTAAATAGATGAATAAAAATATTAATATAAAACTTACAGCTATTTGTTACAAAATCCAAATCAGATTCAGAAGATGAACTTTCAGAACCAAGATTTATAATAACTGGCTCGATCATTTTATCAGTAATATTGTCCAGCTTCCACATTTTTTCCTCTTCTTTAATATTGTGATTTACTGCCTTTTCCCAGTTTTCAGGTTTTACATTATTTACGGCCTCCAAAAACAACTATTTAACATCATGAATTTTAAAAGTGGTATTTTTTCTTGAAACTTCACTCTTTGTGCCCATACCAGTTCAATCGGGTTTAATTCACAATGATATGGTGGGGATCTAAGTACTGTCATTCCACGATTTTTGGCAATTTCATCAATTACGTATTTTTTAAATTTTTCTTTATGAAGGGCACACAACGAATAAAGTTCCTTTCTTATAGATCCGGGATGGTACGTAATATTTTTTGAACTCAGCCAATTCTGCAAGTCTTTTTTTAACCACTTGGTTGTGGGCAGTCCTTCTATAAGTCTGGAGTGATAACTTGCATTATCCATTACTATTACACAGTTCTTAGGAAGAAGATCTATCATTTGTTCGAACCATTCTTGAAAGACATCAGCGTTCATGTCTTCATGGTAGTCACCAGTACGAGTTGATTCAAAAGTTAATAAACCACCTTCAACAAAACTGCCAATGTGTACTATTATCAGCCTGCGTCCCTTTCCTGATGGTGGGTTTAAACCAGTAGATAAGTTATTTACAAAAGCGTGCCTTTGACTTGTAACAGTTTCATCCTGCCAAAATTTATTTGGTGTATGACCCTCGTTGATCCATGTTTCATCGAGATAAAATATTTTTCTTTTTTGGTTTCTCATTTCCTTTATGGTTCTTAGAAAATGTCTTCTCTATATGACAATATCGCTTCTTTCTAATAAAGTAGACTTTCTGGGATTATTATTCCAGCGGAAGCCTATTTCTTTTAAAAGTTTCCATAACGTACTTCGACTCATTTCTGGGTAATCCTTATCATCTCGAACTGAGACAAGAACTTTATCTAATGTTGGAAATTCTTGTCTAAAGAAGAATTTATGCACTTCCCGTCGAAGTCCTTCTTTAAAACGATATTCTATTTGAAATTTTGGTTTCCCTGGAGCATTACGTGGCATTTGAAAACTATCACATTTCTCTTCTTTAATAACTCTGTAAATCGTAGATTTCCCAACACCAAGTGTACTGCTAACTAACTCAACGGTCTCATCAACACTTTCACATAAACGTTTGTCTGTAAATGATTTAAAACAATTAAATATTAATGTTTTTTCATTAACTGTTAAAGGACCGATTTTTCGGCGTTTACACGGCACTTCCAAATTTTCCATAACACTAGTATACACAATAAACTGCACCTTGCAACTGAAGTACCTACTTTTAGTGAACTGTTAAGAATTTTGAATACGCCACTTGGACCTTCCTACAAAATGGAAAAACCCACTATCACATTTTCTGTAGAATAAATTTAGAAAGTAATTATCTAGGCAATTACTGTCGTAGATTCCTGGAATTAAAGAAATAAATGTTTGATTGTTGAAACCCTTACTTCGTGGAATGCACTTATTTCAGATAAAATAAAACGTTTTTTTTTATCTAAAGAATTAAACTTTATTTTGCAAATAGGTAGGTACTTATTAAACTTTTATTGGTTTTATATAACCAATAAAATAAACATCTTACATTTCTTGGAAATTCATTAGTACCTGTTAACCTCTATCACTCCGACACTGGCAACCTTATTTAGGGATTAGTAACCCTCACAACTATTGTATTCTTTTCTGCTCCAACCTTTATACCTGGTGGTCATACTCAATTTAAAATTGTTTTCCTATATACTTCTGTAAACTTGTTGACAAATATCTGTTTTTCATTGAGTCACCCGTATCAACAGTTTAGGGATTTGCATACATAATTTATTGTTTTATTACTCTCTCATACATAAAAATACACTATAATCATTAATTTTTTAAACTAAAAATTAAGAAATTTACTTAATAAAATAATTCTGGTAACAGGTGAACTTAAAATTACAATTTCACAAACAACTATAGAACAAATAAAAGAATATGTATATTTGCGACAACTAGTTAAATTATATAAAACAAATCAGACCAGAGAAATAAAGATAAGGATACGGTTGGCTTGAGTATCTTTCGGAAAACTTCCCTATATACTAAAGAATAGAAAATACCCCCAATATTTAAAAACAAGAATCTTCAACCAATGTATACTCCCTGTTCTCACCTACGGTTCTCAAACTTGGACGTTTACAAAGGAAAACATGGAAAAAATAGTAAAGACCAAAAGACGCATCTAAAGGCAAATGCTAAACATCAGACTATCAAACAAGAAAAGAAATACTCGGATCCACAACAAAACAAAAGTGAACGATGTATCAACGCAGATAGCAAAACTTAAGTGAAGTTCCCTGGACATACCGTAAGACAGAAAGACGACAGATGGAATAAGATGATTATACACTGAAGACCTTATAGTTACAAACGAAAGAAAGGAAGGCCACAAATGAGAAGGTCAGATGACTTGAACAAACACGCAGGACCGAAGTAGATACAAACTGCCTATAATAGAGAGACGTGGAAGAAGAATGAGGAGACCTATGTCCAAAATTGGACAGCAATGGCTGTATAGATAGATAGATAGTATATTATAAATAGGATTGCATTAAAGATCAGTTTTTACAACCAACTTTTACGAAAGATTAAAACTTATGAAGAAATTTAATAATGACTCAGATTTAATTACGAATCAAAGCAAAGATAATGATAATAATCAAGCCTCTTACTTCAACAGCCCCTGTAATAGAGTAATGAATTGTAGAATAGTGCACTTTTATTTTCAAAATGTAGTAGCAATTGTCATAATAATGATTAATAATTCAAAATCCACAAAGAAAACAATTCCTGTAGCTGGCTGTATACCACGTATCACAAAAAAAGAGGTTAATCCTCGTAAATGGGTATATTTATTTAAAAAAACCCTTAAAAGGGCTACGTCAAAAAAACAAACGTTTTCGGACTAAACAGTCCATCATCAGTTTTAAATTTGCTAGGTTAAAATTCCTGAGCCACCAAAATACCAGGGTAAAAACCCTTTAAATTACATGTAGTTGTTAAAGATTGTACACAATGTTATAAAACTGTGATGTTAAATAGTTACCAGCTGTAGTCCGTTTGAAGACACTGGAACTCACTTCAACCATGGGTGTATGTTACCTGAAGTCAAATTCAATTTAATATTTAACATCACAGTTTTATAACAACATTATGTACAATCTTTTACAACTACATGTAATTTAAAAGGTTTTACCCTGGTATTTTGGTGGCTCAGGCATTTTAACTAGCAATTTTAAACCTGATGATGGACTGTTTAGTCCGAAAACGTTTGTTTTTTTTTATGTAGCCGTTTTAAGGGTTTTTAAATAAATATACCCATTTACTAAGATTAACCTCTTTTTTGATTAATAATTCGTTTTTTCGAGTACATTTGTAATAATTGATTATCTTTTAAATCAGACACTCCATTGTACTTATTAGATTTTATCGCAGACGGTTTATCCCAAAAATTATCAATTCAAGAATCTGTTCAATTGGGTATAACTGTTGAACTTTGGCAATGACTAATTAATGACTTAATTGTTGGTTTAACGGTTTTATTATTTTGATAAAAATTAAAAATCTCTTATTAAACAAAAACAGCAATGTATAGCTGACGCAATTGTAAGATTAATGGAAAACAGATAAAAATCGAAAAATAAACATCAAAGAATACAATAACATCAATAGCAAAGTTTAAACAAAACTAATTTTGATAAAAAAGATATGATATGCAGTTTTATTATTTTAAAAAAAGAAGAGGCGACCGACTAGTAAGGCTAGTGATCATGTCCAAAAAAAAGACTAAAAGGGGGTGTGTGAGGGCCGTATACACCTTGGAATGCACACCCCACTACACGCACACTTTTAGGATAAGGAAAAAAGGGTAAGATATGATGCCTAGGCATCTTATAGTTCCGAAACACCATTGAAGACCCAAAAAAAAATCGCTGTTTTATGTCTAATTTACTTAGTTTATATATTTTTGAATATCTCGTTTTAACGTGTTAACATAATTCAAATTCAAAATCTCAAATATAGAAGGCCCGTCAGGCCTACTATAAAGCGCAACTGCGGACTTAGCCCTTAAGGCAGATCAAGTAAACTGATCTATTCGCGAATTCCGAGCACTGAGGCCATGTGCGGCATACATGGGTTTGGTGGCTGGACCCTTCTCGGATGCTCAGCCGGCGAGGAGAACAAAATTTTTTTTTGCCAAGTCGCCAAGATAGTTATTTTGATAACCATTGTCTAATATGGTAATAGATTTTGTTTTGATCCAGAGAAGTGGCTATACCGCTATCATGGTGGTATTATTGATTGGGGGTATCCTCATTTTCTTACCATATTTCTCCATTATTTTAATTAGTTGTTTAGTTTGTGGTCAATTCTATATTAAAAACTAAACAAATAGAAATATTTAAGAAACAATACTTTTTTTACGTTTATTTATATAAAATGTAAGGCACTACAATTTTTAATATTTTAGGACGGGATAATTGGCCAATTGATTAATACCACACTGTTCTTTACCACGTACTAATCTCAGATAACCTGCTTCTCCCCAATCAGCAGCCCACGAGTTCTTGATTAGCCAAAAATCTTTACCATTGTCTGAACCATATCCAACTGTTAAAACTGCATGGTTTAAAACGTCACCTAAACAATATTCGCTGTCAAGGACACCACCTCCATACAATTGCCAGTCGAAGTTAGCGTTGACACATACTGATATTGGACCAACAGTACCTAAAACATTAACATATTTAATATGAATATATTTTGGTATCAATGCTGAGTTTAAAAATATTTTTAAGCTCAGCATTAAACAAGCTAACATTACCAAAAATAGTTCTGTTAGTGAAACAAACACATATAAACTAATTTGTCAAAAAAAATTCTCACTGAGCATATAGAAAAGGTCTTATTATTAACTTACCTACAGCCTCTTTAAGTGCTTCTTCAGTTTGATCTATAGACTCATATAAGAGGATACGTTTAACGACAGGATTACATTTTTTGCATTGACCATCTTTTCCTACATACTCGTAATCAGAATCTAGACAGAGACCATTATCTTTAACGTAGTTATATGCCCAATGAGGATAACCACCACTACAACCCAAGTTATAGTAACCGCCGGAACAATCTACTAACTGTTGAGTACTAAGTACTTCTAGTTTGTTTTCCGTTAAAAATCTTTGTCCTTCAAGTGCACCGGCCTAAAATATAAAATATATTAAGAGACCGACAGAAACCAAGGGAACAATATATTCTAAAATTTCTACGTAAATCTGTAAAAAAATAAATAAAGATAAAAGAGGATAAACACATCAATAAATTGTTAATATTCAAAGTAAATTTTTAGAAATCCAAAAAATTTTTTAAGCCAAGCTTTGGTTGAAAAGTGAGCCTAAAAACGGAAAGTCACGCAGACAGAGTTAGTTCTCTATGGATCCATCTATTTGTTATTTATTGCATAGATCTAAGAGGTAGCCAAGCTTAATATTTATACAAATAAATTCTTCTTCTTAGGGTGCCTGTCCATTTTGAACATTGGCGACCAATCTAGGTATGGTGACTTTGTTGGGTAGTATACGGAATTGCTGTGTTGAGGTCTGTCTATACCATGCTCTCAGGTTAACAAGCCAGGATATTCTTCTTTATCCTGAGGCCATTTTTCATATATTTTAATAGAGTTTATTAGTTCCAATTTATACTGAAAATATTTTATAATCTCTGTTTGTATCTTCACGGTATTTTTAGATTGAAATATTAAAGAACCTTACCTCTACTTTTTTGTGTCTGGATCCGACTACAGCTTTTCTGCCCAATATCGGGCTACGTCTGCACCCTTTGTATGTGCGAGCCATAAGTCATCGAGGGTGCACTGTGCTGGGCAAATGAAGTTCTGTTTTACAGGGGCAACACCTGTGAGTATGCGGTTGAGTGTCCGCCAGGTTCTCCAGTCCAGGTTGATTCCATTAGGTCGTTCTGAATATAGGAGGAACAGTTTGAGTGGTTCGACGCTGACATTTCTCGTAAACCTTTTTCTTGATTTAAGTCGGCTGATTCCTGGCGGTTCGTCAAACCCGTATAATTGATGCCTTTCATGTAAAGTTTGCCTGAACTTCTTCACATATTGTGAGGCGCATCTACGGTTATCTGGTGATGCAAATCCAGCTACCCGGTACAGTAGGGGTAGAGAGGTAGGCTTCATACAACTCGTAATTATTCTACATGTTTCATTTAACGCCGTGGTGACTTGTTGGGCGTGTCTAGTTCTACCCCAGACTGGACAAGCATGTTCCCCTGTTGAGATACATAAGGTCTCAGCTGTTGACTTCAGAACCTTAAAGTTTGCACCCCATTTGCTCCCTATAAGTTTCCGGAGAAGGTTGTTTTTCGTAGAAACCTTTTGTCTTGTGCTCTGACAGTGGAATTTATACGTTAGTGACCGGTATAGTATCACTCCAAGATATTTGGGCCTATCAGCATGTTTCAAGCGTAGTCCATCACAAGAGACATTTAGTTTTACATGTGCCAGTTGGTTGTTAAGATGGAATGCACATACTTGAGGTTTAGTAGGGTTTGGCTTTAATGAGTTTTGTTTGTAGTAAGTTGACATTATGTTTAAAGTCTCTTCCATTGTCGACTTTACTTGTGTGAGTGTTTTCCCCTTTACGGCTATACAAAGATCGTCAACGTAAACATAACTCTCAGTCTGAGGGTGCATTGGTTGGTCGTTGGTGTAGATGTTAAATAAGGACGGCGCCAGAACGCTTCCTTGAGGTAGGTCATTTTTTTGGGTTCTCTATCTGCTCTTATTTCCATTTAGCACAACATAGAAGCGTCTATTATACAACAGCGATCTAATGATATTTACTAGGTCATAGTCAAGCACAGTGTTATAGATCTTAGTTAGCAAGGTTCTGTGGTTTATCGTATTATAGGCCGCTGTGGGGTCTATCAAGGCTAATTCCACTATTTCTTTCTGTTTAACTAAAGAACCATCTTCTATAAACATGTTACATATTGTATGATAAATTAATTTGTCTTCAGATTTTGGAGGTTCAGAATTGCGACAAATAAAAATTAATAATTTATTCCAACACCCCATCATTGTTTTAAAATTACATCAGTCAAAGTCAAAGGGATTCAAATAAGAATCGCCTCATATTTCCCAAAAACCTGTGGGCCCAGGTAAAACTCTTACAATTAAAACAAAATTCAAGTGGAGTAATTAGACATAATAAGGTCAAACAAAGTTGGTTTGTTAAATGTTACGTCTGGTCCCAACTATTGTACGGACATGGACGTTAAAAGCGAAAATAGTTAAGAAGCTTGAAGCCTTTGAACTTTGGATATACCGGAGAATTTTAAGAATTCCATGGACTACCAAGGTCGCGAATGAGGAAGTGCTGAGAAGGATGGTCGAGGCAAAAAATTGTTAAGAATAATAAAAGTACGCAAAACTGCATACCTTGGACACATACTGAGGAATGATAAATATAGTCTTCTGCAGGTAATCATGAAGGATGGATTCGATGGCAAAAAGGTAATAGGTAAAAGAAGAAGTAATTGCTGCGAAATATTCGAGACTGGACAAACATGACTGTAGACGAATTATTCCACATTGCAGAAGACAGAGAAACTTTTAACAATGTCATCGCTAACCTTCGTTAATGGAGACGGCATAGGCAAAAGAAAAAGGTCAAACACAATTAATCTAACAACGCGTATTAACTTACAGCACTAAATGCCCAGCATGATCCGCAACTTCCTTGATCCCTAATAGGAGCAACTGCACCTTTGCTTCTCCAATCCATTGATTCTGGAACAGTCAATTGAGAATCAACTACAAAGCGGGATGTAATGTTTGGTTTAGGCATGTGAGCGATTTGAGAGTCAATCATAGCCTTAAATTCCTGTGGAGTCATGTCTGCGAAATGGTTAACAGCCAAGTAGTAGGACACTTCACCATTTTTGTATCTTGCATTGTGTTCTTCAATTTTGTTCAGATTTTGAGAGAAAATCTGGAAACGAATTTGCTCTTCTTTAAGATGGTCGTACTTCTTTAAATGGTCAACCTGAAAACAAAAATAATCAATTATGCCACAGATCTAATAATCTTTTTAAAAGAGTTTTATTGTACATGTTTTGACAAAACTTATTTCATACAAATTTTTATTTAAATACACCAATGCTTGTTTAGATTTGGTAGCATACGAGTGAAAAAATTAGTAATTTTTAACCAACGCTGTACCAAATAAGCAAAAAGAACAAAATATTTTTAGCTACTTTTGGTCAAAATTGGTAACAAACGATACCTTCTTGGATTAAGTAGAGTACAAACTAACCGGAGCGTTTCCATTTTTATTTGTACATTAAGTTAAAGTTTTTTCTACTAAATTCATTAAAGATTTTTTATTCTAACTATATTGAGAAATGAAGCAATAACACAGGAACATAAATGTTTGCTGTTTATGTATTAGTGTCTGAATGCAAAAAACATGGACGGACTCCACCTGGACTTCATCTTTTCGGTACACATCAGGTGGAATAGATCCAATGTTTTAACTTTATTTAGGCTGTTGTGCCTTTTCAAGGGTCATATTTTTATTGTATAAATATGAGTCTCATATTATCGCTCTCCGAGACAGAGTGGAGGCTGTAAAGCAGGAGTGCCAGAAGAATTTTCCATTTACCAATTTTTACTAAATAGGTTTAAATTTAATACAATTTAAATTAATTTGAGTATTTAGACAGTGAGAGTTTTCATTTGTTTCCCTTGCAATCTCCAAATCTTCCAATAAATCCAACTCCAGATAGTTTTTTTTTCTACTAATGTCATGTAAAATAGATGAAACAATATTTATGTAAAAATTATGTTTACTGGATAATAACTGTTGACCAAGACTTGAAGAGTTTGGTCTTTTCAAATGTTCTGAAACTCTAGTGGATAATTTTGGCCAACCAAAATGCTTTTACTGCTCGGAAATAAAATCTTTTCTGTTCTAGTAAAAAGTTGTTTTAGTTAATTTTTTTGACATTTAATAATATACCTTTTTTTGACTCTTCAAAAATGTACCCACCTATTTCCTACTTTTTTTAGTTTTCAAGAAACCAATAGACTCAGTTTTATTGACAAAATACAAATTCGTTGTCAATATACGAAGCTGAGAATAAGCCACAATTAAAGATAAAAATACGTTTATTGACGTTTCAATTTCCACTTCGGAAATCGTTCTCAAAATACAAACAGTAAATTAAACAAATTTTGTTTTTTGTTTCTTCTAATAATTTAATTTTATCTGACTCATTTATATTGACAATTCAGACATTTTAAAGTAGAGGACTTTAAAATAATATTGCCAATATTGTTGAGTTGCGCTCCTGGAACGACTTTACTTATAAGATAGTTCATTCGATTACATGAAATCAACTTTAACTTGAGAATATCCGTCAGAAAAAAAAAATATAGCATGTAATTCGTCTTTAAAAAGACAAACACATGACATGATGACAGTAAAATTCTCCTGTTATTGATTCCATAATAAATTATGAGGGAAAAACCAGGAAAAAAAACCTCATAATACTATCCCGACATGGTAAGTATTTGTTCGTGCATTTAGTTTACCTTCAATAAACACCAAAATTGTGATTTTATTTGTTTCGTTATTTAAAAAACATAAATGATGTATCCTCTATATATGTTATTGACTTACTAATACTGGTATTTTCTTATTTAACTTCCTCTTTCAATATTGGTAACCAAATCCTACTACATTCTGCCGAGGAATTTGCAACACAATTGGCCTCATTTAGTATCATTAGATCCGCTTCTTTGATTTTTCTTTTTTTACCATCCGTTTCTTTTAGGACTACATTTGAATTATTCCATTGAACCCTATGTTCATTATCCCATGCGTGTTTACATATTTGAGATCTATCAAATTCTCTATTTTTAATATAGATTGAAATTGAAACGTCAATAAACGTATTTTTATCTTTAATTGTGGCTTATTCCCAGTTAAATAGTAATTAATTTAAAATGCCACAAGAAAATAGCTTCAGAACAATATACGAAGCTGACTTTACTCAGTAATAAGGCATTGATTTACCACAAATATCGACACAAAATGGAACTTTTTGTAATAATTTTACACGGATGATGCTAATATTTACAAAAAAGTACTCACCTTAAATCGAGCCCATTGTTCGTTGATTGACAGAGCATTCGTAGCTACGGCCAAAGCGGCAAGTAAAATTAATACCTTCATTTTCTAAAAAGTAAAAATCAAGATAATTATATTAAATAATTTTATATCAATAAAAATTTATAATTTAGCCTAAGAAAGTTTTGATAGGTTGCTGTTTATTGCAACAAGAGTTAGTCCGTTATATACCTTGGGGTTCAATAACCCTCCGCTTGGTTAGTAACGACAGGCATATATTTTGAGGTATATTTTGAAAACCAAGCAGAGTAATAATAAAAAATAAAGAGACAGGGATTCCCCTTATCTTAACCTCAGAGCTCTTGGGGATTCCCAATTTATTTCATATCTACTTGGCAGATCTTTTTGTCTCACTATCTCAGTACAGTTTCTGTTTCTAGTGTATTTAGTTAAGTTTGTAGTAATTGTCTAAAACGTGCTTTAAAAATGAATAAAACACCAAAGTTTTAAAATCCAAAACAGGTAACTGAGGAAAAACTATTGGCGATATGCTTAAAATAGTTTTCTAACAATGTAGCACTAAAAAATACTTCAAGTGATATCGAAAAGGCTAATATACTTACAGAAATTGATAAAGTAGATGAAGTTTTTCAAGACAAGTTTTTCATGAGAAGGTCAAGACTCAATTATTAAATTATACTGAAAATCCAACTTAAACGTATAAAGAGGGTAGTTTGTGGCCAAAAATCTTTCTACGAAGATAAAGAGAAGAAAGAAATAAATGCAATGTTTGATTATAAGAAATTTGAAAGAAATAAATGCAATTAACAAGTTTGATTAGAAATTATTCTCAATTTTTCATCATTAAAAATTTTTGGAATAATTTTTTCGCAAGATATTATAAATCATATTCTATTGATGATGAATAGAAAAACCGAATCATACTTTACAAAAAAATTGGAACTTTTTTTCTTTTGGTCATAAGGAACCGGAAGTATTTATTAGTTTCCTAAACATGTTTGGAGCCTAACATGCTACTATAGAGTCAATATGTAAATTACGTCCAAGATATAACTTTATGTTGTCCTAGAGTATCATCTACCGTGTCTCGCAACAGATTCCAACAGATTATACGCCTTCTAAGATTCGACAAATTTAAAACAAAAGAAGAAATAATACACATGGATAAATTTGCCTCAAGTTACCTGGACAGTTTTACGTAGATGAGCAGTTAGTCCCATTCTGAGGCGAGTCTCTATTTCGGGTTAACGTAAAGAGTAAGCCGAACAAGTAGGTACTGTTTAAAGATTTTCAAAGATAGCAATTTTAAAATATAAGTTTTAAGTCTTTTATTTAGAAAGAAATTTGACTAAGAATTACAAAGTTTTTTGGTCAGAAATAAGTATACAATAACCGAAGCAGTATTAGTTGTATTTTGTCTAGAAACTTGGAAACAAAGAAAATATCTTATTTATGTAAAATTTTAAAACACCAAGGTTATGTGATATAATAGCATTAGGCTTGTGTTTGAGAAATCACAGAATTTGATTGATCGAAAGGGATGACTTGGTATGTAGAATATGTATGTCTGATTTGTGAAAAGGGAAAGAAGGAATTAAAGTAACGGAAGAAATATTTTACTCAGGAAAATGATGATTACTTTGATTTGAACGTCGGAAGAAGCAAGTTGTTTTTGTTTTGCAAGTGGGGGCAATAAAAAAATATTTATTGAGTTTTATGCATTAATGAATTTGTTTAGAAGTATGTTTTCGTTAACTTAGTCATAAGCTATTCAAAATATTCGTTATCATTTTTGAAATTTAAGAGTCAAAAGAATTTTGTTACTTAAAGTGGCAAGACGGGTCCGTCGGACCCTGATTTTTCGTTCATACCTGAAAATATATATCTTTGTTACAAAATTTAATCTGGCAGGCAGGTAATGTTTTTAGAAAATCATTTTGCGATTATAATCACTTATAATGATTCCGGGAATACAATAATACAATTTTGGGAAGCGATGTTTATGATAAATATTATACCTATTCTAAATGAATTCAGATAATGATTTTAGAAAATTATTTTGTGATTTTTCTAAACGAGTTTTAATACCTTATAACGATTCCGGGAACACAATAATACAATTTTCGGAAGATATATTTACGATAGGTATTATACCTATTCTAAATGGATTTTAATGATAATTATTCTTGGAATGCAATGATATTATTATTATGTATACACATTTTAAAATAAATAATGCATCTGCTGTCAGTCGTTTTATATCGTTGTTAGTGTCGACAACTAAGTTTCTAAGCTTATATTGAATTTCAGTGAAAGTAGAAAGTGTGAATAAAATGTTCCGAAAACCATTGTCAGATGCAGAACTGCAAGAGATTGCCAATAATATATGGGACTCGAATGATGAAGAATCTCTCGAAGTAGGTGGCACTGAAAGTGATTCTGAAATTGAAGATCATCTTTCGGAAGCAAGTGAAGAGAATGACCTACAAGTATTGAATGATCTTGAAGAAGAATGTGTAGGTACGAGTTCTCACGTTTCAGATTGTGTAGTTTTTGAAACTAAGGATGGAACTAACTGGAAGAGTCAACCACAACCGACAGGACGTATGCGAACCTGCAACATAATAAAAAGCAAACTCAACAAAGTAATGTTAGCCCCTGGTCAAAGTATAGATGAACCTGTTGATTCCTTTTCTTTGTTTGTGGACGAAAAAATTGTGAACGAAATAGTGAAGTGTACAAATAAAGAAGCCGAAAAAGTCCTGGGGATAGAGAACTGGAAATATTGCGATTCGACAGAGATATATGCCTTTATTGGACTATTACTAACTGCAGGACATCTGGGTGCCAACAACAATAATGTAGATGTACTTTGGAGTAAGTTTTATGGACCTACTATATTTAGGGCTACGATGGGGATAAAACGATTCAAAAATTTGCTAAGATTTGTTCGATTTGACGATAAAGATACGAGGCCTGAACGAAGAAGGGACGATAAATTAGCAGCAATACGCGACGTTTGGAATCAAGTCAACCAAAACTTTAAGAAATATTCTTTACCAGGAAAAAACATAACGGTAGATGAGCAACTTGTTCCGTATCGAGGAAGATGCCCTTTCAAGCAATATATGCCGTCAAAGCCAGATAAATATGGCATGAAAATATGGTGGGCCTGTGACTCGGAAACATATTACCCTTTAGGTTGAATACCATATACAGGAAAAAAGGGAAATACAGTAGCAAAAGGTCTCGCATTTCAAGTTGTACAGGAACTCGTTGAGCCTTATTATAATTCCAACAGGAATGTGACTTGCGATAACTATTTCACTGATCTTGCTCTTGCACATGAATTACTAGCAACTCACTAACCTATCGGCACAGTGAAGAAAAATAAGAGGTTTGTTCCTCAGGAATTTCTTCCGAACAAGAACCGTTTAGAGAAATCTTCAATTTTCGGATTCACTCCAAAAGCATCTCTTGTTTCCTACGTTCCGAAAAAACAAAGAAGTGTCCTAGTCCTGTCTACTATGCATCACAATGCAAACTGTGAAGATGATGTTAACAAAAAACCAGATATGATACTTTATTATAATAGTACAAAATGTGGTGTCGATACGCTAGACCAAATGGTTCATAAGTATATGTGCAAAAGACGGACAAATCGCTGGCCTTTTGCATTTTTTATGAATATTTTAGATGTGGCTGGAGTAGCTTCATTTATTACTTGGACAAATTTACATCCAAAATGGAACGAAAACAGAGATGAAAAGCGAAGGTTGTTTCTTACCACAACAGCAGAACAACTAGTGTTGCCTCAAATTTTGAGAAGAAAATCAAGGGGACTACATCGAGAAACAAAACAGTGCATTGAAAAATGCTTAGAGGAAGTTTATCCAAACAATAAAAAACCAAGACTAGAAAAACCTCCAGTTTCAACAAAGAAAAGGTGTCATATTTGCCCAACAAAAAAGGACAGGAAACAGAAACAAATTTGTGAAATATGTAGTAGAAATGTGTGTAACGATCACTGTATAATTAAAAAAGTTTGTGAATACTGCAATAAAGAAAAATAGTTGATTAATCTATTGTTTTTTTTTAATAATCTAGCCAATTTAAATATAACTTCAATAAAAAAATCAAAAAAGAATGTTAGAAATATACAAATATTAATATGAATAATATATTCAAGAACAGTGGGTCCAACGGACCCGAGTTGCCCGATTACGTCAGAAAAATATCTTGCCCGGATAAGGGTTAAATACAAATCCAAACAATTATTATTAATTTTTATATTAATTTTAATGAATTTGTAATTTTAATTATACAGATTAACGCATATGATATCTAATTTTGATTAATGGTACAATTGTTTGACTTCAATATTTTTTATTCTTTTTTAATATATTATTTAAAAGTTTAGTATCACAAAATTATTTGGTTTAATTTAATTCCCTATTGTCCATCCTTTCCACAAAGGCAACTGCTTAAAGAATACTTGGAAGCCACTTAGTATAATTAACGATAAAAGGAGCTTTGAGATCAAATTTTAATTAATTAATTCATTTGTTTTTGCAAAATCAAGACATATTAGATCAATTAAACAGATAAAAGCATATATATATATATATATATAAAAACATATAACATTTTTAAATTATAATATATAATATCACAAAATATAAAACAAGTGTCTTTAGCAGACTTTGAAATTACTCGTCAGCTTTATGTATACAAAAACCAAATAAAAAAATCGAATATATTAATAAAAAAAAATGATAACCTAAATTGTTAGATTGTATTGGTAATTAATGAGGACTGTAAACGTTTGTCACAATATAACCAATTAATACTAATTAAAAAAATATTTAGTCATACCTTAACACCTCTTGTTACACTGATAGATACAATAATCAGCTTCCCTATATGTATTTATATTCTTTTGTACTATCTTATGTTCTATCTTAATTTTTTTTACTATTATATCTTATATTTTTTATTGATCATTATATTGATAGCGTCAATTTTTGAAATTGATTCTCATTGTAATAACATTATCTTGCCACTTGATCAGTAATGTGAAATATAACAA